AGTGGAAAGTATCTGTATTCGTCTCAGGTCCAACTCCTCCAGCTTTAGTTTTTCCATTTACAGCAATCCCAGTTGCCTTCTTAAATTAGCTGTATTAGCGTTCCAGGTTCAAGCTGGATGGCTAAATCCCTCATTTGTTTTGTTCCCCCCCTTATTGGTTTTTAAGCAAAGAATTAAAGTTTTTTAAAGATTACTACTACTACAGGCCTACCAGTTCCTACTACAACAGGCCCACCCATTACTACTACTACAGGCCTACCAGTTCCTACTACTACAGGCTCACCAGTTCCTACTACCACAGGCCCACTTGTTCCTACCACTACAGGCCTACCAGTTCCTACCACTACAGGCCCACCCATTACTACTACTACAGGCCCACCCATTACTACTACTACAGGCCCACCAGTTCCTACTACCACAGGCCCACCAGTTCCTACCACTACAGGCCTACCAGTTCCTACCACTACAGGCCTACCAGTTCCTACTACTACAGGCTCACCCATTACTACTACTACAGGCCCACCAGTTCCTACTACTAAAGGTCAACTTGTTCCTGCTACTACAGGCCCACCCATTAATACTACTACAGGCCTACCAGTTCCTACTACTACAGGCCCAGCCATTACTACTACTACAGGCCCACCAGTTCCTACTACTACAGGTCCACTTGTTCCTACTACTACAGGCCCACCAGTTCCTACTACTACAGGCCCAGCCATTCCTACTACTACAGGCCCACCCATTCCTACCACTACAGGCCCAGCCGTTCCTACTACTACAGGCCCACCGGTTCCTACTACTACAGGCCCAGCCGTTCCTACTACTACAGGCCCACCGGTTCCTACTACTACAGGCCCAGCCGTTCCTACTACTACAGGCCCACCGGTTCCTACTACTACAGGCCCACCCGTTCCTACCACTACAGGCCCACTTGTTCCTACTACTACAGGCCCACCGGTTCCTACTACTACAGGCTCACCGGTTCCTACTACTACAGGCCCAGCCGTTCCTACTACTACAGACCCATCAGTTACTACTACAGGCCCACCGGTTCCTACTACTACAGGCCCAGCCGTTCCTACTACTATAGGCCCACCGGTTCCTACTACTACAGGCCCACACGTTCCTACCCCTACAGGCCCAGCCGTTCCTACTACTACAGGCCCACCGGTTCCTACTACTACAGGCCCAGCCGTTCCTACTACTACAGGCCCACCGGTTCCTACTACTACAGGCCCACCCGTTCCTACCACTACAGGCCCACTTGTTCCTACTACTACAGGCCCACCGGTTCCTACTACTACAGGCTCACCGGTTCCTACTACTACAGGCCCAGCCGTTCCTACTACAGGCCCAGCCGTTCCTACTACAGGCCCAGTCGTTCCTACTACAGGCCCAGTCGTTCCTACTACAGGCCCAGCCGTTCCTACTACTACAGACCCATCAGTTACTACTACAGGCCCACCGGTTCCTACTACTACAGGCCCAGCCGTTCCTACTACTATAGGCCCACCGGTTCCTACTACTACAGGCCCAGCCGTTCCTACTACTACAGGCCCAGCCGTTCCTACTACTACAGGCCCAGCCGTTCCTACTACAGGCCCAGTCGTTCCTACTACAGGCCCAGTCGTTCCTACTACTATAGGCCCACCGGTTCCTACTACTACAGGCCCAGCCGTTCCTACTACAGGCCCAGCCGTTCCTACTACAGGCCCAGTCGTTCCTACTACAGGCCCAGCCGTTCCTACTACTACAGACCCATCAGTTACTACTACAGGCCCACCGGTTCCTACTACTACAGGCCCAGCCGTTCCTACTACTATAGGCCCACCGGTTCCTACTACTACAGGCCCAGCCGTTCCTACTACTACAGGCCCAGCCGTTCCTACTACTACAGGCCCACTTGTTCCTACTACTACAGGCCCACCAGTTCCTACTACCACAGGCCAACCAGTTCCTACTACTACAGGCTCACTCTTCCTACCACTACAGGCCTACCAGTTCCTACTACTACAGGCTCACCCATTACTACTACTACAGGCCCACCAGTTCCTACTACTAAAGGTCCACTTGTTCCTGCTACTACAGGCCCACCCATTACTACTACTACAGGCCCACCAGTTCCTACTACTACAGGTCTACTGATTCCTACTACTACAGGCCCAGCCGTTCCTACTACTACAGACCCATCAGTTACTACTACAGGCCCACCGATTCCTACTACTACAGGCCCAGCCGTTCCTACTACTACAGACCCATCAGTTACTACTACAGGCCCACTCGTTCCTAGTACTACAGGCCCACCTGTTCCTACTACTACAGGCCCACCAGTTCCTTACCTTCTTCCTTATGGCAGCATGTTGGCACCTCAGTTGGCATCTCGCTTGAGATTCATTGTGTTCTTCTTTGCCATTTTGAAGCTGCAGACTCTTTGGTGTCGTGTTGTCCTTCTCGTTGTAAACAAAATGGCTCCATACATCCAGGCGCTGTTTTCGCTCAGCTCCTCCAACAAATCGTACACCGGTATCAGAGCCCCACACAATGACTGCGAAGTTGAGCTATGAGAATAAGGCTCTCTGCTACTACTGACTGAGCGCCGCGAGGCACTGTGGGACAGCCGCCGTGTGGGACAAACAGGGCAACATGTGTAATCTTCTATGAAGCTCAAGAAACACTTATATTAACAATTACAAATGAGAAATTAATTATAAACAATTACATTTCTTAATGTCCATTTGATCATTGCTCGTAATTTCATTTGTTCTTAGTCTCGTTAAGGAAAATCATTTTTTATTTTTACCGTATTTTTATTTTCTGGAAACGATTTTTGTGCGTCATTGTCACGGGAAAAAGGGGCGTTGATGAAATATTTTCGTCATCATCCCGGTTGATGAAATTAACACGGCATAGGAAGGAGCAATCAGCTAAGTGAGCTTAGTGCTTGGAAAAAATCTTTCATTCCTTTAGAGACAGCATGAAAAGTCAGCTGAGTACAAAACATAGAGAGGAAAACAAGAAGAAAAGGGACAAGAAGAGAGGGACAAAACCTAGAACAGATAATGGATGTCTATTCTATTAACATTTCTCTATCTGTAGAATGGGTCTGTTTTATGTGTTGTCTTCTCAATTCAGAGGGGCCTCCTGCTTGTTTTTGCCTAGGGCCCCAAATTTCTTAAATCCGCCCCTGCTTGTAAATCTGCCACTAATGCAGGTCCCCATCTGTGTACAACTTATAACCCCTAATACTATTAGGATGCTCCCAGGATTTTGCTGGGAAACACTATGCAGGTTACAATCAGTGGTGGTTGGCCAATAGAGGGTGCAAGGGGGCTGCCTTTGTTGTTGGCATTCATATAAATATACTGGTGTGATAACTTAGTATAAATTTGACTGTTTTTTGTTAAATGTCTACTTTGAAGTTATAGCCCGCCAGGAGAAAACCCCACCAGCGATCACTTGTTACTGGACATATTGATAACATGTCAGAGTACAAAAAGAACTCAAGCAGATGAGATGTGTAATGATCATATTGTTTAGTTTGATCTATCTCTATAGGTATGCTTCTATAGGCGTAGACTGCTGGAGGACATAGGGACCCCTTTTTTATCATTTTGCTTTGTTCTATCTCTATTCTCCCACTCTGCAGAATCTGTTAGTTCAATATTTTCAGACTGAACTCGTTTCCAACCATAACATACCATGTGAGATCAAGGAGACAAAATGGAAATAGTGAAGTGACCATAATGTCTCCATCTTATCCCTGAGTTCTGGTCCCACCCTTTCACAAACAAAACAGCTAAACCTCATAAATTCATATTGCACCTAAATGAGTCTCTCTTTATTTGTAAACTTCGGGTTCACTTCAAGACTCCTGGTTAACCAGAAGTAGTCTGTATGTTTTCCAGTGGTTTCTCTTAGTTGTAGAGTTAGATTTACATGTTTTTTTCTTTGTTATATTTTAAGACAAACTCTCTGAAAAGGTGAACATAAAACTGACGTGAATAATTTTTCTGTTCATCCTTTTTAGTGATCAATTCTATTCAGTTTATTTCAATAGCACCAATTTACCTCAGGTCATTTTCCAGTTCACCAGATCATCCAGTCAGATTGATTCAAAGTTTTCTATCTAAGGAAAACCAGCTGATTGCATCGACTCATTGACTCTTCAGCAATCCCTCACACTAAGCATGCTTGTAGCGACAGTGGAGAGGAAAAACTCCCTTTGAACGTGAAGAAACCTCTAGCAGAGCCAGGCTCAGTGTGAGCGGCCATCTGCTGAGGCCCACTGGGGTTCAGGGAGACAGAGGCAGACATAGAGAAAGAAGCATAGATACAAAAGGCAACTGTCAACCAGCTCCACAGGCGGCCCCGTCCAGGAAACACACAGCCAGGCAGACGAGGTCCGAGCCAGCTCCCATATCAGAGGATGAAGAGAGCACATCCAGTTAGTCACAGCCAAAGAAACAGGACTACACTGAAAAACAGGCAAAGCTCCAACATCTAGAAACAAAGGTGTTGATTGCAGCAGCACAGCTGATATTTCTCTCCAGGATATATTTAATTTCTCTCGTAGATTCCAATCCTTTGTGCCTATAAAGTTAGCTGATCATCAAATTACTGCAGTGTACTACATGTATTTTAAAAGTGCAACAAGGCCTTCCATGACTAAAAACTGGGAATATATTTCCACAGTTGGTGAGTGAAATCCAAACAATGTGCTGTCTGGTGTAAAAACCTCGGATAAGGGCAAGAGTTGCCCTCAGATTCCACATCCTCCTTCACCACTCCATGGTGGCGGAGGATGTGGGCGAGGATGCTAATCTGGAGCTTCGTCAGATAGCTGTGATGTGGGCACCGTTTGAAAACTCCGACCTAAGAGAATCATGGATGGGCAGACGGAAAACTGAGAGACAAACAAATCAGAAGTCCCACAGTGTTTTGTCTTAAAATGGGATTTGTGTTACTGGTCTGGTTGAAGCTTGATGCAGGGGCATCCTTACCACTGACGGCCTCCTGCCTCATGCTGCTGAACCGTGTAACCAAACTGGGCGTCCGTAGAACCGTGGAAGATCTTATAGTTCTTGGTGTCGAAGTTGAAGCAGAGCTGGAGATCTAAAAGGAGAGAAGATCCCACTTTACTAAAACAATCGCTAATTACTTGCACACATTCAGTCTTGTTTTTGACAGCCATCTTAGATTTAATCTTCTTCAGGACGAAAACCATCCTTAGTTTTAGTCACATTTTAGTCATTACTATATGTAATAGTTTTAGTGGGTTTTAGACGACTAAAACTAAAACAGGTTTTAGTCTGGTTTTAGTCAGTTTTAAGTTGCACTGTGTAACCTAGCGGCTGGATTTCCAGTGAGAAAATGAACTTGTCAGGCAAAGTGAAGTGGAAGTATCTGCGGGTTTATTCAACTTCACAGCATTCAGCTTCAGTCAGCTTAAATAGATACAGGTGGTGGACTAAACTATTGACATGAAATTTAACCCCTCCTCACTTCCATCTAAGAACACACATTTCAATCAAATATCTACACACATTACGGTTATTTTTTTTTTTTACATTTTCTGATTTAAACTTACACCCAAACACCATAGAAATCCCAGAAAAATGTGTACATCTCCCCCTATATTTTCCACGGTCTCTCCCAGAACCTATAAAAGGTGTCTGGACTTCCCCAGGGAAGCATTTGTCCTAACAGCCTGAACACAGAAAAGGCAGGTAAGTAAGTTCCTAGCACCACAACATTTCTTTTGCACTCACTACCAACAGACCTTACACGAACATTTGCTTAAGTTTCTAAATAGTAGTGATGGCAAGATAAGGCCTCATCGAACCGTTTGGCCAAATTGCTTCAACGATCCCCAGAGTTCATGAGGCTTCATGTGAATATGTCACCACCTACTGGTGGTGTGCAGAATTACAGTTAGTAATAGAATATGTGATTTCTTTTTGGCAATTGTTTTTCATTTTTTTGTTTTCCCATTTAAGTTCCTTTGTAATTGTTAATGATTGGTGTGTTTAATAAAATCTTTTGTAAGTTTTTTTTTGTGTAAAATGTTTTAGAAGAAAACAATCATTGTACGTACACAGTTTTGCCATTTTGGTGAAATGAGCTCAGCAGTCAGTAAAAGTGTTTGTGCAAATTGGGCAATGATGAGCAAAATGAAAGGTGTTTGTCATTTTTATTCAAAAATGATAGTTTGTCCATAGTTTTTGGTTTTAATTGGGTTGGAACTTATATGTTCAATCAATGTTTTGGCTAAACCAACCAATCTAATTTGGCAGTGTTTCTACCAAATCTATATTTGTGAAAAGGCAAACCAATGCAGATTAGTCGCATTAGCCAAAATACTTAAGTATAATCGCAACTTTCAAAAGTCAACATTAGGTCTTAAACCTTCAGCCTCAAGAATGAAAGTCAATGTCTTACAGTTGACCCTACCAATATACACTATATTGCCAAAAGTATTTGCTCACCCATCCAAATGATTGGAATCAGGTGTTCCAATCACTTCCATGGCCACAGGTGTATAAATTCAAGCACCTAGGCATGCAGACTGTTTTTACAAACATTTGTGAAAGAATTGGTCGCTCTCAGGAGCTCAGTGAATTCCAGCGTGGAACTGTGATAGGATGCCACCTGTGCAACAAATCCAGTCGTGAAATTTCCTCGCTCCTAAATATTCCACAGTCAACTGTCAGCTGTATTATAAGAAAATGGAAGTGTTTGGGAACGACAGCAACTCAGCCACGAAGTGGTAGGCCACGTAAACTGACGGAGCGGGGTCAGCGGATGCTGAAGCGCATAGTGCGAAGAGGTCGCCAACTTTCTGCAGAGTCAATCACTACAGACCTCCAAACTTCATGTGGCCTTCAGATTAGCTCAAGAACAGTGCGCAGAGAGCTTCATGGAATGGGTTTCCATGGTCGAGCAGCTGCATCCAAGCCATACATCACCAAGTGCAATGCAAAGCGTCGGATGCGGTGGTGTAAAGCACGCCGCCACTGGACTCTAGAGCAGTGGAGACGCGTTCTCTGGAGTGACGAATCGCGCTTCTCCATCTGGCAATCTGATGGACGGGTCTGGGTTTGGCGGTTGCCAGGAGAACGGTACTTGTCTGACTGCATTGTGCCAAGTGTAAAGTTTGGTGGAGGGGGGATTATGGTGTGGGGTTGTTTTTCAGGAGCTGGGCTTGGCCCCTTAGTTCCAGTGAAAGGAACTCTGAATGCTTCAGCATACCAAGACATTTTGGACAATTCCATGCTCCCAACTTTGTGGGAACAGTTTGGAGCTGGCCCCTTCCTCTTCCAACATGACTGTGCACCAGTGCACAAAGCAAGGTCCATAAAGACATGGATGACAGAGTCTGGTGTGGATGAACTTGACTGGCCTGCACAGAGTCCTGACCTCAACCCGATAGAACACCTTTGGGATGAATTAGAGCGGAGACTGAGAGCCAGGCCTTCTCGTCCAACATCAGTGTGCGACCTCACAAATGCGCTTCTGGAAGAATGGTCAAAAATTCCCATAAACACACTCCTAAACCTTGTGGACAGCCTTCCCAGAAGAGTTGAAGCTGTTCTAGCTGCAAAGGGTGGACCGACGTCATATTGAACCCTATGGATTAGGAACGGGATGTCACTTAAGCTCATATGTGAGTCAAGGCAGGTGAGCAAATACTTTTGGCAATATAGTGTAGATAACTATTGAAGAGACAGCAACAGCACTTAACACTACAGCTACAGTTGTGTCCAGCGGTTTGCTCAGAGTCTGATCATTACATTGTTTAATCTAACTAAAATAGTTTTAACCAACTAGATTGGTTGTTTTCCCAACCAATCTATTTTTAGAGTCTATCCAGCTGACAGCAGCTCTCCTACAAACTCCTACATCTTGACTGAACACTGAGGCTGTTTAGATGCCTGTCTAAGTTCTTTCTGACCCACTTTCCGACGTGGTCACCTGGTATCTCGATGTGTGACACCACTGGTGCAAACCTATGCTTACAGTGCAGGGTTAAATTAAGTGTTCCAGTGCTAAGCAAGCTAGTTTTTAATAATGTGCAAAGGTCCCGTTAAAGTGCTATAAGCTATTTACTAAAAAAACAAACAATTTACATAAAAATAGTTCCAGCAATGAAGACCTCTTCATTCATAAAACAGGTAACCTTTATAATTTGAAATGACAGCCAGATTCTTTACTAAACTGACAGCTCTATCCTAGATGCTACAGTAGTTGGGTATTGTTTTTTTCTCATTGGTCCTTTCTTGTTTCTGCTCTGCTCACACCTGCTCCTAATCTGCTCCGTTAAGCCTCTCTTAGTCTCAGTCTCCTACAAATACTCTCTCTGTTCTGTTCTTCTTTGCTGGGTCCTTGTCTAACCACATCAGGCTCCCTCCTACTCGTCTCTCTGAGCGTTCCTCCTGGTTATTAAGTTATTCCCCTGATGACTCCATGGTTTTTGGTAACGTTTGACTTATGTTTTCTTTTTTTTTTTTTAGATCTTTGATTTTTTTGGACTCCTGGTTCCTTGTTTTGTTTTTGGACTTTGTTTTCATTACTCATCATTAAATCTACTATAAATTCACCTTTGCCTTCCTGCCTCTGCTTTTGGGTCAACAATTCACAAACAAATCCTGAAACTTAGTTAAGCAAATTGTGCAAAACAGCAATAAAAAAATCTAAATCCTATCAGATTTATAATCCCCATCCTGCAGATATATTAGAATCTGTCCTTAAATTACAGCCAAACTCATTTACACAGTAACCGATAAAAACCTTTGGATCAATCAAACATTACCGCCACATATCTGACTCAATAACCATTAAAACAACTATTTTCATTCATTTCAGACAAAACTATTTACATACTTAGATTATATTAAACTGCACTTCCAATATTCGCCACTGTTTGGCGCCATGTAACCTTTCTTCTGATCACGGAGCAACCGGCTTGCTTGGTCTCGCAATGAATCCTGGGAAAACCAAGGATAGCGAGGATACATCGACCCGTCAATCCCGAACCCTTCAAATCGGGCAAAAAGGATGCATTTGCTGGCCACATAACGATGAGTCTTGGAATCCGACCAGACCTCGGCGCCGCGCTATGAAGTAATCGTCCATCGAATCTGGCCTTAGAAGGTCGCATCCCATGATTTCGAACAGGCCCAACGTGTCGATTCCCATTGACTTCCATTGATTTTCAATCATTTTGAACCCTTTCTATGCCCTAACCATCAAAATATCCCTAAACCTACCATTGCCCTCTCACAAACCAACTACCAAATTAGCTGGTGAGGAAATGTCCTAAATCTAAAAATATTTTCCCCACTCTGATGCCTAGACATCAGTGCACGCGCACATCTCTATATCAGTTAATCAGTAAAAAAATAAAATCATTTTCATCTGGGAGCGGCCATTTTTGCCCAAATAACCCCTCCTTCCTGCCATCTTCTGGCAGTGACGTCACGGTTAGAGGCAGGTTTACCATTAGGCAATGGTAAATCTGAACTGTCTTCTCCGTTCAGAGGGCCCCCTGCCTGTCTTTGCTTAGGGCCCCAAATTTCCTAAATCCGCCCCTGTATACAGTAATTTGCCACCTCTGGAACAAGTAGTTCTAATCTAAACCAGAAGGTGGCAGCACTCTTACCTACTTTTTAACTACGGCTCTTTTACAAGTATTTTTTCAGATTATATATATATGGGAAAGTTTGTCTCTGCAGTCATCTACAAATCTTCTTTTTAAGTAACGATAAAGAACGACAGCTTAACCCATTTCATTTATATATTTTGTAGGAGCTAAGATTAATTTAAAATGCCCCAATGTATAACTACAGAATGTGCATAGCTTTATGAGCAAGTACCGCCTGAAAATCTAGGCTGTCTGCAGTCATTTATTTGGAATGAACATGCAAATATAGTGCGTGTTCATTTTCCAGTTTGTCCATTGTGCTCTGCATAGATTGGCCGTGAAATCTCTCTGGCGCGTAACCGTTTATGGCAGCCCCTCAGTACGCATTGGTCCCTGCCTGGGAACCCCATGATCATTTTCTGAAACCCCCACTGAGTGATGGAGGGCCGGGTCAAACATGCGCACCCCTGCC